CCAAGGCGCTTATAAAAACTGGTTTTGACCAAAGCTACAATTCTCCAACCAAGACCAACGTGGCAGTCTTAAGTAGAAATAACAAATATATGTAGTATGTCTCAACGTCGTTCTCTTGTGCTCTATGATTGCTTAAAGATCAAAGCTTACTGTTTTCATTAAATTACAACACCATTATTGTTTCCAAAATTAATAAAAATATACATAAATTATTTTATTTTCTCTCCAGTGGTCAAGGTATACTTATTAACCGAACCCGATCCATACTAAATAATATCCAAATTCGGATTAATAGACTGAACCAAAATTTTAAAAATCCAATCCGAACAAGTGTCCCAACGCCCTGGGCTAGTGAGAGCTTACTTGCATGTGATTGTTGAGAGAACCATTATGTTTGATGATATATTGCACGCAGCTATAACAGTCAAGTATACGTATACCACAACAGGCAATCACATGAACCTCCTACTGATAACAACAATAGATCTTTATATCCCAAAATCAAGATGAAAAACAGCATAGAAGTAACTAACTGCAATTGGTGAAAAGAGTGATCGAAGAAGCAAGAGAAAAGCACGGTCACAGTTCACAAATTGGATAAGCACACTGGAAAAAAGAAAAAACCATTACATCAAACTGAGAATACAGCCAAGTAATTATAAAAGCAGTCCTCAAATTAATACATAATTAAAAAAAAGACCGCAATCATTTCTGGTTTCTCGTCTTGACCATCTCCTTGTACTTGGTAATGGAATCAATCCTCTGCAACTTCAACTGCTGCTTGAACCGATTGATAAAATCATCAGCCTTAGCATCCACCTGCTCATCAGCTTCTTCCACGGGAGTAACCCTCGTGACTCTCACCGTCTCCGGCCGACGAGCCTCAACGACGTCGTCTTCCTCGAAATGAGAGAAAGGAGATTTAGTACTCGCTGACTTCTTCATCTTCTTGGGAAGCTTCGGTGGGATGGCTCCAGCAGCTGGCTCCGTATCAGACTTTGTCCTAGCCACATGGTTCAGATTCAGCTTACTGTAAACCTCTTCAAGACTCGGACTCGTGTCTTCTTCCTCTTCCTCCACGGCGGGGGCACACGGTGGTGGTGGTGATGAGTCAGGTTCTTGAGAAATGTAATTGTAGAGATTGAAAGATTTGATACGGTGGAGAACAGAAGGAGATCTAGAGAGAAAAGGCTGGTTCTGTTCTATGGAAGGTGGTTCGTTGTTGTTGTCGGGAGTTAAGACAGGAGGAGGGAACTGGAGATGTGTTTTGTCGGGTGTGGAAGTGAAAGAGGAGAAGTTAATGGATTTGAGGCGGTGAATAACGGAAGGGGAGCGTTGGATCTGAGTTTGGTTAGGGTCGTTGGATTTGGAAGAGAGAGAGGAAGTGATTGCAATGGTGCCAATTATTAAGTTGAGGAAGATGAATAGTACTGTCGGTGTGAACCAACTGTATATCGCCGTTACTAAAGAATCCGACATGACTTGTTGTTGTTGTTGTCTTCTTTTGAAGAAGGAAGGTTGGGTGTGAATCTGGTTTTTTTGTTTATGGGTAAGGAAATTAAAGATTCTATTCGGCGACAAAAGGTTTGAGAAAGAAGGTTCGAGTTTGGTGTGTAGCTTATTCCATATTTGGGCTCCATTTGGACCCCAACGTGTTGCGGTTCTAACCAATAAGATAGAGGCCCACAAGTACACCGGCCTTTTTTTCTTTTTTTTCTACTTGAGGATAAAAACATATTTAACATTTGTTATCTAATAAGCAGGAGATTCATAATGGTTGAGAACATTTATAAAAGCATAGAAAGTTACTGTATATTCATCAAAATTTTAGATATATACATATAAAAAATGTTCATTTTTTTAATTTAATAACTCGGTATATCATGATCCCATTAAAATAGATCTAAACTAGCGGTTAAGTGTTCGTGACAGTTTAAGTTATCGGCTGGAGTACGCCTGCTTCGGTCACCAAATGTTAGGAGAATTCAGATATTAAATTTTGCGTCAGTGTGGTTTGCAGGATGTCTTCAACTCTTAAGGCTCCGAATGGTGACCGCCCGCTCCGCACCGCTGTAAATAGGAAGAAAAATTTATATTTATATATATATATATATATACTTTTGTTACTATTAGAACCATACCGTATTTGTTTTGCAGTTGTCTTGTATATTACCATTCGAAGCTTAATATGGAATTAATTAGTTCGCATGATACGAAATTAGTGAACTCCTATAATACTCAGGCCCGACTCAAAGGGTAGGCAACATAAACAGTTGCTTAGGGCCTATGAACCCATTTTCAATTTTTTACATTACAAATTTTTATTATTGGGATATTTTTTTGTGTATGCCTGGGACCCTGAAATTTTTTTTGAATGTTTGGCCCGACCCTGATAATACTATACCTACTATAAGAATGGTTTCATTATTTAACAAAAGCCATGTAAACACCCTATGAAGTGGAAGATAGTTTATGCATGAACTATCCATAATTCGTCAATAATTCAAAATGCACAATAGTGAAATTAATATCCCAAACAACTTAGAATCAGTGGCGGACCCAGCACATAATGTGACTGGGTCAGAGGTGTCATTGGGAATAATTGAATTGGTTCAGTGCCTGTAGTTTATTGATGATATAGCTTTACAAATATAGTTTTCGTTATACTACTGGTGTCAACTGAAACCCTTTTTCAAGTGAGCCCGCCCTTGCTTAGAATGTGCTCAATCTACTTAGGAAAATAATTCAAAATAATTACCGAAATAAATAAGAAAGCATGTGAAGAGAATGATGTTTAAAAAAAAATAAAAAATCAATCAAACATCCAGGTTTGTAATCATATTCACTAAACTTGAACAATATATCTCTATTAGAATCAAATGAATATGAATATTTCTTACACATGATGTTACCAGTAACAATCTTTCTATTTCAAATTCAACATGTCAAGCTGGGTGGCTTCTACTGCAACTATTGAGTCCAAACAATTCAACACCCATTTGGTTCTTTAAGACTTCACATTATGTAAACCTTGTTATTGGTCTTTGTCTCATAGTTTTCTTGTTTTGCAACTCTTGTAACTTAGAATTTTGCTGCTTATGAAATCTCATTTCACTACTCTATCTACTCTCTTCTATCAGTAGAATCAGGAGCTTATGTTTTTTACAACATTGTTAAGTGTTAACCATGTTTGGTCCTATATTGTCAACAAACTGGTTTTAACCAAAGGTACAAATTCTCAAACCAGGACCAATGTAGCAGCCTTTAGTATAAATAGTGTTTCAACTTCACTCTCTTGTGCTCATTCAACGATTGCTTAAAAACCAAAGCTCAATGTATTCACATTATAATTTTAACACCATATCATTTCAAAAATCAATATAGAAAGTGCAAGCAGTGGATTAATAGCTAAAAAGCAACAAACAGCTTCATGCTCTATTCATCAGACATCTTTTTCCCAGCCAAATCTTCAACAGTAAGACTAAGAGAATCCATAGACCCTTTCTTGAACTCATCCCCACGAGCAGCAAGCAACTCCTCCACGCTCCCCGGTTCTCCAAACCAACCAAGACGATCTGCAATCAAATGCAGATTATCACACCCCTCACACCGCACCACAACAACTCCCTTCTCGTATGACTCTCTGCTCGCCATCTTCATAGACCTCGTCTCACACACCTTGCAAGTAAACACCATCATGAAGTCATGCCTCGGGTTTATTTTCAACTGGGACTTGTATTTCACAATCAGTTCCTCAGAGGCTGTTGCTGCAGGGGAGGTGGAAGAAGCTTTGGAGAGTTCAGAAGCAGAGTTTGAAGAGTTGCAGCAGCTATTGGTTACTGAAGATGCTTCACTAGCATTACGGGATACACAGAAGTGCCTATGAAGTGATCCCAGATATGCATAGTCTCTGTTCAAGAGTGGCTTTGATTGTGAAAGCCTACCTGCTAAGATTGTTTTCAAACAATGAGAGAACCATTAATGAAAGGACAAATCTTTCAAATAATTTTTTTTTAAGTTTTTATCACAAAAATAGACATCAGAAACTAAAATAACCCAAAATAACATTTTTTCTTTTGAAAATTTGAAGTTTTTACTTATTTTTGATAAAACATTTAAGTCTATTTTCGTTAACCAAAAGGATACAAGTGTATATTTACTTATTTTTGATAAAACATTTAAGTTTATATTAGTCATTTTTATTTTTAAGGTTTATATTTGTGACAAAAACTTTTTTAGGTCGGAATTTCTCTTAATGAAAATGTATCATCTTTTTCTTCACTATCACAACAAGCCACCACAAGAACCTCCTAAAACATGAGACTAAGAGTCTCATCATCAATCACTAAAGAGGCTCCCCAAAACAACCCAACAACACCAAAAATTTCCTTATTTAAACAAATCTTTGTATCAAAGTATCAAACTCAGAGACCCTATCTCTTGTACACACATCTCTGCTCATGCTTTTGAGAAATTAACATGATTCAGTGATTAGAAAATTTCTAAAGGTCGAGTTTTTATATTATGTAATGATCTTAACTATGACAAGGAATCATAACAACATCAAAAGGATCTATTTTTGCACATCAACAAGCTATTACTCCTCATGAAACAGAGAGATAAACGCAAGTTTGAGAAGAGAAAGATGAAACCTTTAAACAGAGGAAGCCGAGGTTGTTGATTAGTGAGGTATTGAGATAGGGCGCGTCTCAGACCAAGAAACCTAGCAGCCATCGACGAGACCTTTGGTTGTTCTTCGGCGACAAAGAAGATTCTGGTTTTTCGTTGTGGTCAAGTAAAAAAGTAAACCCAGAAAACCCCCAATGTCGTGTTTCGTCTTCATACTTGGGCTCTATCGGACCGAACATGTTGCGGTTCCTACTAATGGGCCAAGGCCCATAACTAAAATATTATCTCATAAGCAGGAGATTAAAGTCTGCTCAAAATTACATGTATAAAAGCAATAGAAACTTTATACATCAAATAATTGTCATCAAAATTAAAATATACCAAAAAGTCGTCTGTAGAAGACGATTATGGCCAAGTGACAGAGTATGATCTCTCCAAGCAGGTTATTTGCTTCTTAAAATTATTAGTTAAGTTAATATGGAAACTTGTTTCGGAAAAGAAAAAATGTTAATGTGGAAACTATGTATATAAATTAAAATTATTAGCTAAATCTTTTTTAACGCTGGACAATTATACTATTACAAACTATGAGAAATATTACAGACGATTCTATAATTGATAATTATATATGTATTATGAAGATTCACGTTTAATTGTATCATCTAAACCGTCCTATCGGATCCATCATGAACGATATTCGTTATGCCATGCTACAGATTTCTTGTTAATTTTTTCTCGTTTAATTTGCATAATTTTATTTGAAATCCAAACTTCATAAAATAGAAGCATTAATAAATTTTCAGTCAAACTATTGGAGCAAAAGAACTTCCACGAAATTAGTTAAACCTTAGCTAGAAAAGAAATAAATCTTAGTTAAATGATAAGAATAAAGATATGTGTGGTTGAGTTTAAATGTGAATGATGATGTTTCCCTGTACTTCATATAAAAGATGATTAAGATCTTGGTTTTTCAAGACGAGATTTGGTTGAGTGGAGAGACTAGCTTTGTTGATTGGCTTGTGCCAAACCTATTGGCTATTTTCATCATGTGTTTCAAATAATGCGCATAGAAGACAAAGTAGTTAAGCTCGTTTATGATGAGCCACTTAATTTGACTTCTCAATACGTCTTTTCCATCACTTTCCATTCCAATACTCTATGAGCCAACATTATTAGTGGTGATACCGTCCAAACTAATAAAGGGCAACACAACAAAAAGTATGATGGAAACAAAAATCATTTTTGCGTACTTAACAAGGCACATGTTCTTTTTCTCACGTCCCATCAAAATCAGAATAGTTACCAGAGTGTGATTAGATGGTGATTGTAGAGTAAACTTTTACTCAATTTTATTTTACTTTTGTATTCAGCTGAAAAGCTACTAATAGCTTAAATGTCATTCAGGTTGACAAAAAAAAAAAAAAAAAAAAAGCTTAAATGTCATTCTTTAATTTTTACTCTATATAGAATCTGATTGGATAGCTATTCTAAAATAAAATATCAGAGTAAACATTATTTTCAGCTTAGTTATTCCAGAATAAAACCAATCAGAATAAAAAATATTTGATGTACTCTATGAAAAAAATTTACTACAAGGTAATTTTTTTCTTTAATTTCTTTTTCAAATTTTCCACCATATTTTTTTCTTTTCAATTACTTCAACTTGTACTAATCACACCCATAATGTTGATAAAATGAGAAAAAAACTCTAAATTTTACTCTCAAATTTGCTGGAAAATATACATTTAACGTTGGGTTTTAATTCTTTTCCATGTTTTCACCTTATAAAATTTACTTTAATTTGCAACTTTTTATTTAGTCTGTATTTGTCCAGAGTTTATTGGTTACCTCCCTCCCCCCTTCTTCCCCCAAATCTTTGTACACATGTTACTTTTAATTATTAATGAATATTCATTGAGCTTTGAGCTTGTGGCTTCTGTATCAAAAATCAGTAGTTTTGAATACTGTTTAGTAGAAAGTACATTTTATGGAAGATTTTTTTTGTCAATAGACTATAAATAGTGAACTCATATCTCTTTGGCTGCAAGATAAAATGTAGTGAAATATATTAAACCATCATCCCATGATTACACCTGTGCTTTTCATGAGTGTAGTTTTAGTAATTTCTCAGAAAATCAGAGGAAATAAAACACTAAAATATAGTAAATCTCTTAAAGTAAGCTTAATCTACCACGTGTAAATACAGGGTGACCTTTATACTCTCACGTGGAAAGATTATCATACGGAATATATGAATACTAGTAAACAAAATAGAGCAACATAAAAGAGTAGACATAGATATAACAGAAGTAGCATTCCAAAGTTAACCCACCACAAGTCACACTCAGAACCTCTCATTCACCAAAGCTAGAACTAAGATACTACACGTCGCTAGGTTCCAACAATCTAACAACATTACATAAAAAGCAGCTCTTTATTGTCTTCTCTCTACTCTCTTTGATAACCGACAAGAGTCAAAGCTAAACGTGAGACTGGCTCCTGAAAGACCCGAGCGCCTTCACCGCACCAGCTCTCAACACAAACTGATGGTAGAAAGCCGCAATGGCTGCACCCGCAAACGGACCAACCCAAAATATCCACTGTACAAATAGAAAAAAACGTTAATAAGACTTTGTCCAAAGGTGAGATCGAATAAGAAGAAGTAAAATTTTGTAGATGGTATAATACGAACATGATGGTCCCAAGCTTGGTCCTTGTTATAGATGATTGCTGCTCCCAGACTTCTTGCAGGGTTAATGCCAGTGCCCGTGATTGGAATTGTAGCTAAGTGAACTATGAACACCGCAAATCCAATTGGTAATGGAGCCAATACCTTTAATTACCACATCACCAACAGTAACAAAAGATATGTTATTACGTATTTAACAATTCACGAGACAAATAGTGTAACTGTGTACGGCTCTAGGTATGATTAAATATATAGTAATGTTTGAGTCTCAAACTTTGAGAGAAGTATACGTGGTTGGAAATGAACCTTGGGACCATTTACAATAAAGGACATTCACATATGATGGAGATAGGCGTGAAAGACAAGAAGTTTAGATTACCAATGTCCTTTTCTGTCGTTTTTTTATAATGGAGAATCTAGAAGCTAGCCTGGCAAAATCTACATAATATATGGTTCGAAATCTAAAATAATCCAAATATATTAAAATCAAAAACTTCTAAAAAAAATTCTAAACTAAAAAAAAAAGATCTCGAATATCAACCTAGAAAAACATGCTATACGTGTCCATGCCCCATTAAATGCATGCTATTCTACGCTTGGCCGATTAATTAGTTTGGTACAACATCGTTTCAGTCATATTATTGATAGTATAGTGGACCGTGAAAGCCGTATAGTAGTATGTTCAACATAACGTTTTTAATGCGGTGAAATTATCTAACTACCAAAAGATAGTGAGCTTACAGGGACGTGAGAGTCGCGCGCACTCCTCTTGGGGTCAGTGGCCGAGAAGACGGTGTAGACTAAGACAAATGTGCCGATGATCTCGGCGGCTACACCAGTGCCGATGCTATAACCATCTGAGAGACCGTTTGCGCCGCCACCGTAGCGGCTGTAGTAAGATGGCTGGAAGGACTTAACCAAAGCCACACCGCAAATAGCACCGAGGCACTGAGCTACCATGTACATTACTGCTCTCAACAATGTCACTTTTCGAGCCAACAAGAGCCCAAACGTCACTGCTGGATTTATGTGTCCACCTATAGGAGGAATAAAATAAGTTGAACCAAAACATTATGTGAGGTACGCTAACAAACCAAACCAAACTAAACGATTTTTATTACAAATGAATGTAACATTGTTTTTGAATTATTATAAGAATGACTAACCGTATATCTCAAACCCAAAAAATAAAAATAAAAAATACATATTATGTGTCCAACCTATACCATTATATAAGTTGAACCAAAACATTCATAAGAGCTAAAACAAACCAAACTAACCGAATTTTTTTACAAAAGAATGTAACATTGTTTACGTAAACGAATAACCTAATTTAATACAAATCTTAAAACCGAAAATATCAAAAATATCAAGACATTCTAACCAGACCGACTTCATGTTCTGTTGGAACTACATTTCTCAACCAAGATAGAAAAGATTCATATATTTAATTGAGTCAGCATAAGTTACTATATCCTAAGATTAAAAAAAAAAGTGAGTTAGTCTAGGAGCAAATTCACGAAAGTAAGAAAAACACTCTTAGATTGATTATAGAAAGTGAGAAACAGACCAGAGATTCCAGCAGTGCAGTAGACGAGGATGAAGATCATGCCACCAAAGGCCCAAGCGATGCCGAGAAGGCCAACACCTGCACACTGGTCAGGACTGAGGGCTGGATCGGTCTGGCTCTTGTAACCAATGACAGTCATAACGGTGACGTAGAGGAAGAGGAGAGTGGCTATGAACTCAGCTATTATAGCTCTGTAGAATGACCATTTCCCAAGCTCAGTAGCGTCGAAAAGTGGCTCAGGCGGTGGGTCTTGATAGTCTTTGCCTGAGAAGGATCCCTTCTCTCCAACCACTTCTTTCGTCATTGTTTTTCTTCTTCACCAAGCTTATGAGTCTATCTATCTCTGTAGAGTTATAGATATAGAGAGAGTTTGAGAGAATTGATGTGGTAAGATTGTGAGTGGGTGAAAGGCATTTATAGGCAGAGGCTTTGGGCTCTGTTCTGTTGGTTTTTTTTATAAAAAAAAAAAATATTGTTATTATTAGGATCAGCGTTAGCTCTGAGCACCCATTTTAAACATCAAAATTTAGAACAATAAATTTTCTTAGTGTAATGTAATAGTGTTATGGGCAACAATATTTTGTGCTTTAAGCGTCTAAATACATAGGACTAGACTGATTTCTACCAGGTTGATTTGGGTTTAGTGGAAATTGTGGAATGGACAAACAATGTATTCCTAATGCAAGGAAAAGTACGAAGAAATAAATACTACTAAAAATATCTCCATATCAACTCCATAATTTATTCCATTTTACTAAAAAAATAGAATGCAAAATTGATTAATGAGTAAAACAATAAGAATATTACTCCATTTTTGGAATAATCTTTTATTTTTTTGTTTTTCATTTAATTTACTACATAATAATATTTTGTTTTTTTTTTATTTTTCATTTAATTTGCCACTCTATTTAGAATAAATTATAGAGTGACGATGGAAATGTCTCACCCACCAAATTTGTGTCCGTTCTATTAAACGTTAGTGGTTTCATCAGTTATCACTCATCACCATCATTCAAAATCTTTAGTAACTAATTCATTATCTAACGTTGTTGTAGCAAGATACATTATTGTCGTGACTATCCAAAATTAGAAAACTAAAAATCCAAAACAATAACTTTTGTAGTCAAATGAAAGTTTCATTTTGTCACAAAATAACCTTCCAATGCGTTCAAAGAGTACAGCAAAAGGATAGGAAGAGATGACCCAACCCTACTACAATAAGACATGATCACAACTGATATGCTTCCAATGAAACATGTGACATTAGTATAAGCTAAGCCAAAAATTTGTTAGCCTTGTTTAATACTTAAAATATAAACCTTGTTTACATCCCAGTTTATAAAATATCTAATCGTTTGCTACGAGATATCAAAATGATATTTTAAACATATATCTAAATTCATTATTTTTTTTTGATCCAGTATCTAATTCATTAATTAATAACTAATGGTTGACGAGAATACCTGGTGTGGTGGTTGCATTTCAAGTTATTCATAGATGACAATCATGGTCCCTGCCTTTTTACAATGGGGGTAAAAGAAATTTGTGTTAAGAAAATAAAGAATCAGTTTAGATATAGAATGTGAAAATAGGGCTGAATACGCTTTTCAAAAAACAATCAGCTTTAGACTATTTACTATGACATTATTATACATTTTTCTCTAATATTTTCTTCTATAATATATTACTAGGTCATAACCCGTGCCTTGCACGGGATGAAATTATTATCTTTGTTATTTATAAAATAAGAAAACATTATGCATGTAAATGTGAACATCAGTTTGGTTATAATTTGATTAACCAGATTCTTTTTCACAAAACTGTTAATTTTAGCACCCTACAAAGACAAGAATTATAGTCAGAAATTATATGGACACATTAAGCATACTTAAGATTACTAATTTGAAGAGTAAATGATGCCTATGTTTGAGTCGATTAGAACCATCTCAGTAGTTAGACCACCAGTTGCAGAATATTGATTCCACAAACGCGTGATCTTCACCATAATCTTTCATATAGACTTGAACTGTTTCATATCTTACATAGCAGTTATCGCATCCTTTATAGAAGAATGAGTGAAAAAGTGTTTAGGTTTTGGGTTTAGGTTATGAGTAAGAAGATACATGAGTCTTATATAGGTATAAGAAACCTAATGGAAGTTACGCTGTATCTCCAATAAAAAAATAATGTCAATATTCGTGTCTTGCTCAGCAATTTTCTTCTACCACAAGAATATATATTTCCATAAACCAAAGTTTTGAAATCTATGTAAATCTTCTATCATTAATCAACCTTCCAATCACTCAAACGTAGCGAAATCATTTTTAAAAAAATTAACGCATGGTTTTCAAAATCAGAATTACAAAAACCGATGGTTAACTCGATTTAAATGTCTTAACCAAATTATATAATAATTTCGGTTTAAACTTCCACTTGGGAAAAATGATACGAAAGAAACAAATATGTGCATGTTTTATACTTGACATCTTTCTAATACAATTATGCACGCATAGAAACTTATATAACGGAGAGTTGAGTTGGTGCTATGAAAAAATCAATGCTTCCTCTATGTCTAATGTTGAATTCATTGACTTGCCTCATTGTCAGTATTCTCCCTGAAAAGAGAGGAAGATTCTTAGGCAAGTTCATGCTATGTTTTCTCCGTATTGCTTCTCCGTGAAAAGAGAGGAAGCTCGTTTGGCAAGTTTCGCTTCATGATCATACAAATGTCTTGTATCCCTGAAGATCGTGAAGCAAATTCTGCAAGTTCATGCTTCTTTGAGGAAATCGACTATCAAATTCATGTTATGGCTTTTCCGTATTGCTTTCTTATTGAGAGTTGATGGGAGCTCCGTACAAGAAACTTCCATGTATGTTTTCATATTGATGGGAGCTCCATAGATTCATGCTATACATTAAAAAAACCTAAACTCCTTCCTAGAAGTTGTACTATCCTCGTGTTGGTCAAACTCCATGAAGAAACTTTCTTTGTAGTAAAATGCTCTTCGTGAAGATTGTCAGTTTCGAAGGCAATCCTAAGTTTTTGTTAATGGGAGCTCCGTGAAGAAACCGGAAAAGAAGTTTTCATGTTATATCTTCTATCGTATCAAATCACTTAGAAGTTAAGAAAACGTAAAATCCTTCGGAGGTGTTGAACGATCGTCAAAAGCTAAACTACCATCAATTCTTTTGTCGAGATAATCATGGATAAAGAGGGAGTTTCCTCCACAGGTTCGCCGATAACTCTTGACAGGAAAAAAAGTTTACGTTTGACATTACTTGGCAACAACATACATCATTTGGCAACATACATATCCATGAGGGATGTATTCTTCAATTTACTCATCTCGATCTTTTCGAGGATCACATGGCGTAGTTGGTTTCTTTGTTACAGATGAATCATCGCAAGAGAATTGTGAGAAACCATTAAAAAATCTTTATATGTCAAGACACGTAATATGGAAAGTTAGAAAATCTATTTTATGAATTTGGCAATATTTTTTGGGAGAAGCATTCTGGAAGCGACACGTCAGCATTGTCCCCAATTCAATGTGAACGCATTTAATGCAAAATGCTTCTATTTTAATATATAAGGATGTGTCTATAATAATGTATAGTGCTCGGCAAATTTGATCAAATCTTTTTGTAGAGTGCTCGGCAAATTTGATACGAATCAAGAGAGATATGAGAGGCCACAAAGTACCAATTAAAAAGGAACACTTTATAGAGTTATAATTTACAGATAAAGTTTTTACTGGCAGTTGCAAAGTAAATAACAAACCAATAATACTCAGAATTCTCCGGTTAACTGTCTCAAAGAAAAGTTGTGTGCTCTCTGAATGGGTGGACCATACATTTGTGAGCTTCGTGCCGACTAAATGAGCTTATTCAAAAGTAGCATGCCCTCTCCCACTTTGTAACTTTCTGAATCTTGGTAAAAAAACTACAGACATACAAACGTTGTACAACAGTGAGTTTCCATTCTATATTGGATTGTTTTTTAAGATATAAAAGCCTGGAATAACTCGTGTTATTTGATTGCACTCGTCTAATTTCAGGCTATTATATATATTTTTAATGACATTTCAGGCTATTATAGCAATCAAATAGTCAAGAACTAGTCTTATTTGATTTAGGTTAGGGATGAAATTTCATCTACATGGTCATTAACGAAGAAGTGCACATGTTCAAAACATAGAGGACGGTGAAGTGGGGGTAAAGTGGGTTGTTATCTTTCACCGACCCAACTTGACTTTGCAGCTTTGCTATGTTTTGCTTTTTGTTCGCTTTAAAATTTCTATGGTTTAATATTTCTTCCTTCGAACAAATTTTTAGGTTTAAGGTGTCCCCTATATACAGTAGTACGTCTCTAACACTATAGCCATTTTTTTCTATTTTAATCTATAACCAGTAAGTTTAACTTTCCTAGCAAGTAGTGAACTGTAGTTTTGCCGTCCACTTGCGAATAGTCTCGTGAGAACCACAACTAACTTAGTTCATTGTTGCTTTGGGATACTTTAACCAATTTCCTCGTCAATTTATCAGTGTGGTACTCTGAATGATTCCTCCTTTACCAGGAAGTATATTCAAAAGGGTTTTGGATATATTCCCGTGAATGACCAGTTGCCCACTATGTTTCACACTTTTTAAAACGGGTACGAAAAAAATACAATTTTCTAAACACAACTTTCCTCCTTATTTTTACTGTGGACTACTCAGATAACTGGTTGGTAAAATAAACCATTCATGGCTAGTTCCCGGAATCTCCCTTCCAGCCAAAAAAAGTTGGATAAAACAGAGATTGTAAGTCTATTGAAAATACACCTGGATCTCAGTGGCGTGTCTTTTGTAAATTTTATATGCTACTGATACTATCAGACAGGTTCGATCCTAAACTTAAGCTGGGCAAATCCATTGTTTTACTCAAATGTTCGACTAGATAGTTAAGGATTTAATATACTTTAATTGTATAACTAAATGTTAAATTATTATAATAAAACTGTTAATATAAAAAAACAAATCTTTGTAAGAGTTTTTCGAGGAAATCTCAGAGCTTCCCGTTTAAGAAAGTTATCTTGTTCTCTCTTGTTATTACTTTTTTCAAAATCAATGAGATATTTTTATGGCAAATGCATTGTTAAGGCACTAGGCATGATTGAGGATGGAGAGATCCTTTTAACTGTATGGCGATGTTATTCTGCCTAATCATTTTGTTCTGGTGAAGATTAAGAAGTTAGATTAGAAATTCCATGAGATAATAGGAAGATGCGTACTGAATAATATTTATCACCATTGTTGGAGAAGAGAGACCCAATACAGGTTTGGAAACGGTTTTACATGATATATTTAGATAGGGATCGATGGAGGTTTGTACTTTTTAGTTTAATCTGATATCCGAACCAGATTTGACTCGAAAATCTAAATCGTTCTGAACCATTTTTTAAAAATACTAAAATGGGGATTAAAACTATTGTACTTTGGATATTAATTATAATCCTAACCAAAATTTGAACTAGCATCCTTCAATATCCAAAACTAATTAAATTTATTATTTTTATGTATAATTTAAAGTAATTTAGATATTATAGAATATTTTGAATAGTCTCGATTTAGATAGTTTGGTTAGTTTTTATCAGTTGACTGATTTAGATATTTTTAATTAATTTTCAGTAATTTTTTTTTTTTTGCAATTTTAGTTAATATGTATAATCTGAGCTGAACATAACTCAACTATACTCGGTTCGGAAATACCAAAAATCTGAACGAATTTATGAGCATGTATTGAAGTTCGAAAAATTTGATCTAAACTCGAAGGGGAACCAAACACCTATGTCTAGATTTAGGTTTCATAAAAGCTTATTGTTTTTGAGTGTGTTAGACTAGTATTTGAAGCAGGCCCGTCTCAAATAAAAATTGGGCCTTGGACTAAAATAAATTTATGTAAAAATTGTCTATGTAAATTTTTTTTTTAAAAAAAATAGATCCTAATTTAAGTTAGAAAAACTCAAAATTTGGAATGGGCCCTGTGCAAATGCACCTCCAGCACATGGCCAAAGACGGGCTGATTTGAAGATATTAACTGATGTAATAGGAGAAAAGTATATATGTGAAAAGTATACGAGTGGTCTAAGGAAATAAAGATGATACAACGGTTTGTAAGATTGAGGATGATGGTTGACACGATCTATCATGCCATGAAAAGAAATTGACATTCAGGCTAATACCATTGCCAATAATTTACTCTATTTTTTTCTCAAAATAGAGTAATTTTATAATATAGTTAGGTTCTATTTAAATGCTACTCTATTTAAAATAAAAAATAGAATAATAAAAAATAATTTTTTGTAATGTATTTTTTCTTTATGTAGTAAACCCATTTTTAACTAAAATAAACTCATTTTTCACTTTAATATAAAATGAAAATAAATTATGGTTAAAATATTTTTACTTAAAAAACTCTATTATTTAATGAAAAATTAAATGTAATAAGTGATGCAATAAAAGTAGTGCAACAACTTAATTGAAAGTCATTCATACAGATTCAAATTTGTATCAAAACACAAGTGTTGGTCAGAAATTGCAGAGATTTCTGGCCAACGACCAGAAAATTTGTATAGGAAGCATTATAAGTCTATGACTTTTGAAAATATATATAAGTTTTGACCAATTATTAACAAAATATTTCTTTAGCCTAGTGATATTTATAAAGTAATATGAGCCTAGCAACACGAGTTCGAGCAGGGTTGGGATACTATCGGCTTTTTTAATTTAGTCCTTAGCAAGTCAGAACTGCTACTGCTAAAGATTAATTGTAAATCGCACAGAACAAGGCGGTTTTAAAATTCAGATAATTTCATTTTTTTTGTGAACTGCCACACACAATTTCAGTCTTAAAATTTATACACATATATGGTAAATTAACTAATTTATTGATTTGCTACTTTTATTTGTTAGCTTGTACAATTTTTAGACGGGGGAACCCAGAAGACATTTATATGATGCATAAATAGTAAGAAAATAAAAATAGAAGAGATATGAATTTCATATCTAAGAAATCTTTTATTGTTTATACAATTTTAAATAACAAAATTTTAGTGGCTGCATATACTTCCATAGCTTACATGCTACATTCGCCTCTATTTATGACCCTAAACTGGCCGTATCGCACATCTGCAACAGAGGAACATGGGCCAATAATGGGCCTGGTAGTATCTAGCTCACTTGTAAAACACCCAAGACAAATGTTTTGGGTCCATGAAACACACAACATCATTTGGAATCTGTTGCAAAGTTCTAGAGGAGACTGAGTTGAAGATGGTTTTTATCAAATTGAGTGAAACTAATAAAAAGAAGAGATCATCCATAAACATGCAAAACGACCCCTGAAGGCTTTTATCAACTTTGAAACTATAACTGACCTTGAAGACTCATAAAATCATAATGATCCAAGACCCAGATCTTACATTCACTTAAGTTCCAATACACGTATCAAAAGCATCCTTACTTCAACATACAAAACCACAAGCTTCTTGGATTCCGTGCCACATTACAATTTACAAATAAACGCCGTGAATTTATTATATGTAACTTTTTTTTTGCTAAACTTTTTTATTATATGTAACTTTCAGCAAGAATAAAAATATACTTGAACCAAAAAACGCGAATAACATCCTTCAAATACTCAGAAAACACTATTTCATCAAAGTGTAATATGAGATAAACTGATATTTGCAATAAATATCACAAAGAGAGATTTTTTTTTTATTCAAAAAAAATGATACAAATTAAAAGAAAACAATTAAAAAGACAAAAGAGAAAGAATAAAATGTCTAGTGAAATCATTAAATCATGAGTCAACAAGAAATATATGTTGTCCATTCGAGTTGGTTTTTTGTGCCTTGGCGAATACAAAACTATTCCTTATTTTGTCCAGTACTTATCAGACGACTATTCTAAGCCAACCTTCATTGCTTGAAAAAGTACATGAGCACAAAACCAAAATCATTCGCTCATTGTTATACTCATGCTTAACACATTAAATATCCTGAAAAATATTTTTACTAATTATGTAAGATGAATAAACCCATGGAAAAAGAAAGAGTGAAAGAGTGTTAATATGAAATGATATTTGGGAAGGTTGCTAAATTAAGAAACACTCTATCACTCAACTTAAATTGGCATCAAAGATGGATTTTTACGTAAGAGATAGTCAATGAAGTCTTCATATAAAAGACATTGGTTGTTTACCTATCTATCTACATTTAATTTACATTATTGCTTGTCTCATAACTACCACTGATTAAAACACAACACTAACTTAACCAAACCACTAAACCTTTTAGAAGCAAAAAGACTAACCATTCATAAATACAATCTAAATATATCTAGACAAAGGTTTATATATTACTCTTCATAAACATCTATTTAGTGTGTTGGCAAGAAGAGACCATGTATTTAGCTCTGCATAATTATGTGTAGCTAGGAAATAAAATAGGATTTTTAACAAAAACAAAAAAAAATAAACAAATAAACTACAAAAAGAATCCTCACAATAAAAATACAAAGAATTGAAAGATGAAAAGAAGGAGAGGAAGATTTAATGTAAACCTAACGTTCTCTAGAGTCTTCAAAATCTTCTGCTCTTCCTTTGTGTTCAAGAGTTTTGCCCATACACACTACAAATACAAAGTACAATCACAATAACTTTTCATCTAACTTTTCCTTCTTCATTCATCTCTTCTAATGCTAAAAGATTTAAGCTCACTGACTCTTTCCTACTCCTCGCAACTCTAATCCCTCCAACGCTTGGAAACTGAACCATCTTCCTCGGCCTTAGTCCACGCCAATGTAGGCATTGTTCGGAATCAGATCTTGCAGATCATTCTCATCGTTTGTGTAGCTTCCATAGCTGCATCTCTTGCTTCTCATTTCAGCCACCTTCTTGTGTGAGTTTGAGTGAAGAGCTGGAGTGAATGTTGGACTATTAGCTGGACGGTACTCCGGGAAAAGCCTTCCTGACTTGTAACGCACGCCACACGCGTTACAAAGAGTCTTTGGGCCCATAGGCCCAAGCCTCCACTGCGGGGTCTTAGTGACCTCGCAGTGCATACACTTCCTAACCGGATGCTGCTCTGAAGAGCACGAATCCACGTTGTTGGTTTCAAGATCAGCCCCGGACCAAGAAGAGGAAGAAGTAACCTTAGCCTTCTTCTTCTTCTTGGTGATCATCTTGCTGTGGTCAGAGAGGAACTGCTTCGGTATTCTAACGATTAGACGCGAATCCACCCCGCAAGGATTGACTCTGTCCATCTCCTGGACCTGTGGACGAGGGCGTTTTGTGCGCGGACGACCGTGCTTTCCAGAGAGGACAAGTGAAGTTGTGTTGGTGGTTTGAGACGAGGAGGAGCTGCTTTCGAGTACCGACACTGGACTTGAGCTCCTGAACTGGCTATGAGACGAAGATGAAGCCGTGTTTGTGGAAAACGAATCTTCTTTCTTCTCAACCAAAGACTCCTCTACAAAGCTCGCTGGCCTTTCCACCTTAACAATATCTTCAAACTGTAAATTTCCCACCAAAAAAAAACATTGTTAGACAATTATATTGGAAAATTATAATCGTTTCTGATGTTTTAACTAGAATATTTTTATTACAAATAAGTGATATTCTAAGTATTTTCTAGATATTTTAATAATGTTTGACATTTGTGACCAAATTACGTTATACAAATTTATTTCATTTAATAATGTTTTTATGTTAATAAAATTTGTATATTTTGAATTTGTGTTCATTAGCCTTAAATATCATTTAAATGAAACCTAGAGAGTACAAAAATATAAACATGGCTTTAGGTTAGTGTAGAAACTGACCGGAACATAGAGCTCAGGTGATGAGTTTGAGTTTGTGTTGGTGTTGGAAGAGAAGAGAGGGTCAGAAGCAGCGGGCCACGTGTCGTGATGAGTGGTCCAGATGTTAGGGAAAGAGTCGGAGTCATCGATGTTGAAACCGACATCCATATCACAACCGGGAAAGTCAAGAATGTCGTCCATGTTGTCAAAGAAGTTGCCACAATCAAGATCCTCTGGGAAGCTTTGTCCAAACATCTTCTTTTTTTAACAGTTTATCTGGAGAGAAAGAAAAAAGAAACTGATAATTAAGATAAAAATGAGAGATGGGTGTGTAATGAAATGATTGATATACAGAAGAACATGACAAAAGTTTTGAAACAGTAAGGAAGTTTCACAAAAGTTTTCAAAATTTTGGAACCACCTTAAAAATCAAAATTTTGAAAATGGAACATGCTTTGGCCCACCTTTTTTTTTGGTGGGCTACAGAAATAATGAAAGACCATTCTAAGCACAAATGCAATTTGCAATTAGACCCAATGGCTCCAAAAGTCAAAAGTCACCGTTAATCAAGCATTCTTGATTTATCTATCTTTTCTAGAATTGTTGTTGTGTGAAACACAAAAGAAAAAAGAAAAGAAGAAAAATAGGAACAAACTTTGCATGTTTTTTTACCAAAACAGAGTGCTAACAAAACCCAAATTAGAAAATTTGCACCACCGACACCTCATAAACTCTTGGAAAACCTAAATTTGAACACCAAGAATACTAGAATTCCATTTCAAAACCAAGAATTCTTAACAAAAGCGAAAACAAAATCAAGAATGGGAGTGATAAACAGAGTTAGAGAGAGAGAGAGGGAATTCTAACCTCTGTTGGTAGTGGTGTGCAGGTATGAGAGAGAGAGAATCAAATTTGAGAATATAAAGAGAGAGAGAGAGAGAGAGAGAGAGATTGCTTAGAAAGGAGAAAAAGGAGTAGGAGTGGGGAGAAGTGAAGAGTGATTGATTGGGAAAATGGGTTAGTAATGGAGAGCAATAGCTTCTCTCTTATATTATTATAAAGAGTTAGGTTGTGAGAGAAACACTTCTTCTATCTCCTTCTCTCTCTCTTCCCTTTTGCTGCTAGCTGTATTTTACCATCCCTTACTCTGTCTTCATGTGGAAGTCTCTTTCTCCTCTCTAAACAATTTCATAAAATTTATGAAAATAATAATAATAATATGTTAATCTCACATCCCTCATGTGGGTTCCATTTCTCACCAAAGATGATTTATTCACAAACCTTGCTTAGCTGTACAAAAGATATATTTGTTTGAAAAACAATGGATTGAGTTAAAACATCTTAAAGGAAAAAGATGGTTTAAATTAAAGTTAACACTTTGTTATTCAACAAAGGTTATTCATGTGTTGTAACGGACATAGATTCAAAAAGAATTGTCAATTAAGTAAGGAATTTTTATGGACTTTTACTTTAGATGAAAAAAAATCTACAATTATAACGCGTATAGAGTTCTAGTCATGGTTTTGCTCCTACCTGTATATACACATGAGAAAGGTCAATGAGATAATGGGAAGGTGAAATGGCACGAAAGAATTATACGACTTTTACGCGTACATGTAATTCCAATTTTTATATTTAGCAAATTTATGTTATTTTTATTATTTGATTTTTTTTTGCTAATTTTCTCCCATTGTTTATGCCACAAACTACGTGTTATACAAAGTGAAAGGAAAGACTTTTTCTCAATACCGTATTACAAGTATTTTCCGGTGGGCGTTCGGAATACATACATACAATCTATTTTACATAGGCTTTGGGAACTTCGGTCAACTTTATTTTCTTTCTTTTTACCAAAGTGATAAACAATTGACCATCGTGATTACCGTAATGTATTTATTGTTAAGCTATCTTGAAATTAATTAAAATGATAATAAAAGATCTAATCATTTTCGTCTGGTAGATACCATCATTAGAATTTGTTTCCAAGTTTCTAGTCTTACTTAACAATGATGTTACCAAATTATATAAAGAAACATATAAACTTAATAGGTTAGCAACAAATAACTTAATAGCATGTCTAGTTTTGTGGAGAACAATGTACGCAGTCACCAAAAATCGAAGTCACAGTGAATCCAAAGCCATTGAACTCCACATTGTTAGACATATATATCTAATGTGATTTTCTTTGAGATTATCTTTAATATCACAATTTTCTTAAGCTAACTTCAGTTATACTCTTAGCTTCGTTACTTCAAGCACACTCCTTCCTAAAAAAAATTAAAAAAAACTTATAGTATCTACCAATTTAATTTAATGCTGATTTTCTAAGGCTCTACTTTTCCACTTTCCTAATTTTTTTTGTCTTCTTTTTAGTATAGATTTTGCAGTAACTAACTTGGACTTCACTCCATACATGATCACTTTCTTCTAAAAGACTTCTCTCCACATTACTCTGTAGATGACAAAAGCTATATCATTAATGTGTTTATATATGTAACTATATACATATAAAACATGTACTACAACACATACATACACTATACACACAAACATATACATATAAAAACATGTACTTCTCAATAGCACAATATGCATGAATTTGCAATAATGCATGAAGTGATCTCAACATACATTTATATATATTTATTTTTTTGAACAATATATATATATAGTGTGTGTGTGTGTGTGTGTGTGTGTAGTACATGTATTGAACCTCAGCCTATGGTCGGGACCAAAATGTTTGTATAACATCCGGCACAAAAAGAAAAAAAGCTTTCTCTTATGTATGTCGATCATTAATCTTAAATTGATTAAGACATCTCAACAAATATTGATTAAAACGAGTAGATTTGCTTACAAAACGCTACTTTCTCCAACCAAATAATTTGTTGGTTCCAATAAAATAACGAAAACGCATGTATGAATAATTAGGTAAGTGGTTTACGAAACGGCAATATTGAGTGTGGTAAGACTTGTGCATTAAACCTGAATATAGGTTATCATATAAAAATAGAAAAATCTTCAATCCTAATTCATTTTAGAGTTAAAATCTCAATTTTATAGTATCATCAACCTACTTATTTACTTTGTATTGGAAAAGGCTAAACTCCTCAAAAGGTTTCTTTCTGTGATCTTGATAAGTAACATGACTAAATAAAGCTAATTAGATGTGTCCATAACACATATATAAAAACATTATAAAAAATTTGCCACCTCTATCACAAGAGAGTAATAATACAAATCCGTGACACATGATGATCTACATAAATTATAGTATGAATAAGCGGGATAAGAAATGTTGGCGGGATAGGGGTTAGTATTTAAACACTTTCAGTACGTGTTGACGGTATATGATAACGTATATTATACGATATGAATGAGACCGTATGCGTATCTAGTCGGTGGAGGATTAACAACTAGCATGTGCACACAGAACAGGTGAAGGCGCGGGTGAGTTGCGAGCAAGTAAGAACCCATGTTTTCGTTTGGACCCACCTTTTGTCTAAAATACGTGAAAAGATACTATTGAGATTGGCCTCACGCACATTTTTAAGATTATTAAACACGATCTAAGTATAAAAGCCTTTTTATTTCGGTGGTATGACTACAAATCTAGGTGTCAACTCTTGGAAAAAAAAAACGAAGTATTCAGATCAATAGAGAAAATGTTTATATGAAATCTTTAACATGATACAATTATAGCGATCAAATGTATATCTTATAAGGCGAATCAGAAAGATATAATTAGACATGAACACTCAAACAAGTATTATTATTGGTTATAAATCGTTTATGTAGCAATTTTCATAGTTATATTTTGAGACCTGGCTTAACAGTTTTCATAGTTGAAAATAACTTAATCATCAAACGTAAAACACAGTTTAAACATATATTTTAAAAAGGGTAGCAAAGAAGATTATTAGAAGCGCCAAATTGCATGAAAACAATTATATCATTCAACAAATCACGTGGCTTTGCCTCGGGATCGGTTCTCTCTTCCTGACAAGTGAGTAGTTCTTCACTTAGACGAATAGGCACAAGACACGTGTCAACAATCTCCACGTTAGATCATGTGACGATGTGGGTCCTAGTAATGTGCAAAACTCTACTTAGGCTATAGCTCCTCTCGGGGAAGGAAGGACTCACTCAAGCGTACGAATCTCTTCGCCAACTCCAACAAGTCCTAGGATCAAACGGATCAATTCAATTATTCACTATGCTCTATGATTATCACCCACATGGACTGGCTTTTTTTTTGGAATACTCAATTCTTTATCCAACTTTTGTATTATTGTATTTTAAACTGATGTGATCCTGACAATTCATGAACCTCTGAAGTTTTGTTATAAAGCAGTTTGTCAGTCATTCTTCACATGGTACTTGAACTAAAGACACCAATAGTGTTTATATATTTATTTTGGTCGATACAAATACTATGGTCTAAAGAGAAAAGTGGTTGGGCTAGAGACCTTCTACTTAGGTTATATACTAGCATAAACATAATATAAGAGTTTGTCAAGGACTTTAAGAGCATCCCCATTGAGAGTTCAAATGGGGGGTTCACACGGAAACCAAAAAAATAAAATACTAAAATAACCAAAATCTATGAACCCCTCTCTCCTAAAGTTCACCCGGTTGAACCCCTCTCTCCTAAGGTTCAACACGTGTCGGCCCGAGATTGGTCTAGGTCTTTTTCTTTTCATTTTTTTTTAAAAAAAAAATTCAAAAAGAAAACAAAAAAAATTTAATAATAAAATATTGATTCAATGAACCCCAAGAGGGGTTCATTGATGTGGATGCTCTAAGTCTCGTTTTTAAGTTTCTGTAATTCATACTCGATAAAAAAAAAGATAGATTTGGATTCGTGCCAGCGTTTTGACCGTTACGTATGGTTTATACCGGAGAAATAATGTTATATCGTAAATATGTACAATTTGACTTAAATTAACAAAGAAGAGGAAAATATATTTGAAAATCACCGTGTAACCAATTTGGTTTGGTCTAATGGTAAATGAACTCCAGCTGGAATGTCCGTCTCTGGGTTCGAGTTTTGGTCATTACGAAATTTATATATGGACTGCAGCATCCGATACCGAAAACCGTTACACGGTGAGTCACCTGGTAACCTTCGGGTCCATGCTCACTTCAATCTCTAGTCTGGACTATCACGATGAAACCAGGATATTCGATTAAAACAAAAAAACTACTTGTACCAGTTTAAAAGTATTCAAATAGTTTTCAACTTATATAGTGAT